ACATCACCTACCCCCTACAAATTGAAATTCAATTGAGGTAATAACCTACTAAAATGTATTTATTTTCTATACAAATTACTCCATGAGTTGCTGGCACTAGCATTCTGCATGCATTAACCTGATTAATAAAATAGATTAATAAAAAGAGCTGCAATGCTGCCGTCTAGTGACTTTCACATTCATATACAGCTGTTTTTCCCCAAAACAATTTTTAAGGCACACATCACTTGCCAAAACCCAGGCAAATGGTTTATTATAACCAAAAACTATTCTTACAGATATTTCATAATCATGCTAATATTGGGCCGATAATATCGGACAGGTGATATTATGGGATATCGCGACTAGACCAAAGAACAGAATCACTGAATTTACATTAATTGCAATAGGACAAATTCATTTGTGTCACGAACTTTTCAGGTCACGAGCAGAGTCGAAATAGAATCGTGACCTTAAGTATCACTTTATTTCAGAAGTGATTATGTCCAAACTAAGTCAAGCAAAAGATAAGTTAGATAAAAATGTGAAAGGGTTTTTTTTTAAGTATGCAAAAGAGAGAGTATTACACACCAAAGTGCAACCTAAAATACCAAATAAAGACATTTGTTGGTCATTTACTAAGCAGCTGCAGCTGCAAATGAACCTGAGCTTCGCTGATGGAGATCTAAGCTGTCCACATGCTTCTTCGCTGATGGTGATGGAGATCTAAGCTGTCCACATGCTCCTCGGTCATCAAGCAGAGGTTCAAATCTGGAATTAGATTAACTGCTCAATGAGCCAAAAATGGATTTTTGGAAATTTCCAAACAATCACTTCTCCGAGATGAAGCTGGCAAAAAGCTAGCAAAAGTCGGCTCTTCTCATCCAAGACGAACAATCGACTCTTGTAGCCGGCGTGTTTACAAACGATGCATTACTATATTTTATGTTACCGTGTGATGTTGCAGCACAAAAGCTTGCATGTAGTATGTGACTCATGTGCTTTTTTTTTCATTTATCAATTTGTATTAATATTTTATGAGAGTAATCGATAGTCAGTCAATACCTGATATATCAATACCACAGAATTGGTATTCCCATCTTCCCAAAAAAATTCAACTTCGTACTGGGGTCGTCGACTTAATGTCTACGCATCGAACACTGGGCTGTTTGAGGGCTGTCACAGCCCTTGATCTACATCCTTTAGTCTAAATGTCCTGCAGGTTTGGAAGGGTGTACCTGATGGTCCGTTCAGTGGAATGGACTACTCTCCTGAGGGCTGAACGACCATGGTTTGTGCAGTTGCCCGTCCGTAAACAAAAGCTCTCATATAGAATGCTTATAGGCCTATAAGGTATAGACATAGGTTCTCTATCTATCTATCTATCTATCTATCCATCTATCCATCTATCTATCTATCCATCTATCCATCTATGTAATCTACTGTAATCTACTGTATCTATCCCGCACCTTAGCACCTTAGCATTTAATCAGTACCTCAAGATATGTATATATAACGAACCCCACCAGCAACAGGCAGATGATGCTAAAGTCACATATAACTCTCTGGTACTTTATTCTGGCCCTGAGTTTGTTGTGCTCAGTGTGATTCTGGCTGCAGCGGGTTTTGGTTGTTGCTGGCCCTCCTGCAAAATTTCCTCTCGGCAATACTGGTCTAGAGATATACTCCCAGAAAATTGTTGCAGTACTGTCTGTTGTATGTTACAACAACGTAGAAAATTAATAGATTTAAATTTTAAGAGCATGTTTGACGGCAACCAACCTTTTTTGTTAAACCTTATTAGAGCTCGCTTTTCATTAGCTACATTTGATATTTATGAAATATAAACACCAGACTTAGAATTATGGCTAAATAATTAAGTACTTGGGTAATTGGTAATATGTAGGCTAATTATAAACTAAACTTTGACGTGGGATCGGGGTTGTATATTAGTTATCTTTCTGCTAATGAAAATTTGTACCAATTTTTTTTGCTTTTTGTAGCATTTTACTACACTGCTGGGAAACATCAACTGTTTTGGTATGTGAATAGAGTTGTCTGGCTCTGGATCCAGACTTTAGTGTGATTGTCAGTTACCTGAGTTTATTACAGAGCAGTTGTGGATATCTCTTCTCGCCATGTCTGTCAGTAACAGAGTTAAAAGAGCAGCTTTCTTATTTCCCCACTGGCCTTTATTCTATTCATCCATATAAAAGAACAACAAACTATTCTCTACACAAACAATGGCAATGGATTATACAATAAAAAACCAACGACGACATACCTACATGGAATCAATCTCTGCAATTGTTTTTAACAGAAGGATACTTTAGGAAAATGCATCAGATTTTACTGAAAAATCTTCTTCAATACCCTCACAAACAACTGCTGTAACATTAATACTCCACCCCACAGAAAAAAAAAACTTAAAGATGTGACCCTCGCAGGTGTAAAACTCCATGAAGGTCAACAACAGAATGTGATAAAACTAACAAGTTGAAAGTTGAAAAAAAGGTCTTACATCTCTTCCTAACTGTAGATTTCTAAGACAAATAGATAATGTACTCAAATTGTCCAGATTCTAACTAACCTTCACCTGATGACTGCTGGGATTGGCTCTAGTCTCCTTGGAATCCTGAAGTGGGAAGGTCTGTGGTAGAAGACAAATAGATGAATGACAGATTCCATTTCTTAAATGTTTGGTCAGTGGTTTTTCTCATGCATAGATTACAGCAAGTTGACATTAAACCTTAGTACTGGTGCTGCACCTGCAGAATCTGAACAGTATCTAAATTCTCCACCTGTTTCTTCGCATCACGTCTTCTCCTCTGTCTATGAATTATTTACTTCATTTCCTCCTCCTGGTTTGTTTGGTTATACTGAATTGCGCTTGTGTCAGTGCTTCAGTAGGTTAAAAAAAAATCTATTTACGTTGTGTTCCGTTTAATCACAAAACAAACTTTATTTGAGAACACTGTGAAGACTGTGAAGGTACTAAATCTTCAGGGTGATTTTGTAGGAACCTGATTTCCAAAAGACGTTTTACATCGAATCTGAGAGGCGTCTTGAGTTCCGACTGCCAGCCCTGAGCGGCTCAATGTCACATCCTGACCCTGGTGGTAAGCTCTTGTATTCACATCGGTCAGCAAGTGAGAGGGTGGCTGTGTAAAGATAAAACATCAGATAAAACAGAGCAAACTGGTCAAGAGTATATAGAGTATATAGACTATATCCTTTTTTTTCTAAAAATTTTACTGTTGTCCCTGGAAGTTTTAAAGTTGTGATATATTTTCGCGCTCTGTGCTAGCTGTTTTCACCGACGAGTAACTTTAAGTTTGAGGCTAACTTTAACTAAGCTATTTGTGTTATTTCTGGTTATCCTTCTATAACTACTGTATAAGCTACTGGACAGACAGTGTATTCTGATAAGTTACCACTTTTTCAGCCCTCTGATTTATCATTTATTTTTAGGTAAACTATTACGCCTCTTTTTATGACTTTAAATATTAGTTTTATCGTAGCACATTTGTTCGCACTGTTTACGATGGAACTTGGACGTGGCGCATTTGAAGTTTTATGCTGGAGCTAAAGTTTGAACTTGCGCGCACACACACACACACACACACACAAACACAAACACACACACACACAGTAAGAAAAAGTTACACCAAAACATGAGTGATGGTCAAACAGAGCACTGACCTTAGAGGCATTGTAAACAAACAAAACCTTATTCTTTCTTTCTCTTTTTTTCTGTTTTGTTTTCACGCTCACTCTTCTTTGCTGCACACACACACGCACACACACACACACACACGGGGTCAGAAATACCAATAAAATTCTCCATTTCTCAGTTTGCCCTCCAGCGAGAGCCCTCAAACGGAACAGATCCATCTTGTTTGCCCTGACCCTGAGCTTCCACGCTCACTTCCCCGTGTCACTCACCGAAGACACTCACACACACACACACACACACACACACACACACACACACACTCAGCTATAAACACATTAAAACTTTACCAGCACACATCAAACAAAAACAGCTCCACTTGATTTACTGAGCACAAATGTTCAAACATACGACCCCTGACTCTGTAACTGAAACAAATAGACTTTAGATTTGTCAATAAGCTTGAGGTCACGGCAGCAGTAATCCAGCAGCTCATACGGTACGTCCCTTTGATCTGAAATTAGTGCAGGTTTTCTGTGTGATTTCAGGATCACAGACAACAGAAAGTCTGTGAATCATGGTGGAACGCAAGACAGGATTGAATTGAAACTATCGTCTCTTTGTTGGAGAAAGTGCTTGATTTCATATGCAGCAGAGCCCACTTTTTAAATGTTAATTTTGCCGACGATCATCTTAATTTAATTGTGGCAGCCGAAATTGTGATTGTGATTCAAATTTGATTAATTGCACAGCCCTAGGACAATGACTTCATCAGCTTCTTAAAAGTAACTTGTAATGTCTTCTACAAACCACTGAAGAGATGCACAGAAATAATGAACATTTTGACTTTTAGTTTTGCATATTTTTATTAATAAATCCATCATTTAGATTAGTGACAAATGAAAACAGGTGTGAGACACATTAATTTACCTTTGTAAATTTGTGGTTTTTTTTAGCAACATAAAAAACCTTTTCGTCATGTTTTAGGTCATGTTGATTCAATTAATTACAATAAGGATAATTCACAATTAATCCACAGCTACACCCAGTGATTAAGTTGGTTAAAAAAAACAACCTTTTTTGTACCAAGGACCATTTATCAGCTGTTACTGCAGACCGGTAGTACCACGCAATCGTTGAAGGTTGAAGTAAATTAATAAAACTGAAGTAATTTTTTTCACTGTGTCCCACTGCGGCCTTGTACCAAATGACCTGCGGACCAGCATCGGTCCCCAGACCAGGGTTTGGATACCCTTGTCCTAGATGATGATGTCCTAGGTTAACATGTTGTGCTTCAACAATTTTAAAGATTGTTAAGATTTACCGTGTTTAAATGTGTCTGTTTCAGTTTTGTTGTTGGGAATTTTCCTCTACAACCGCTGGAGAAGCTACAAAGGTCTGAAAGAAGGTGTCTATCATGTTTCTGCTCATCACGACGGCTGGGAGGACATTCGAGAAAACGTCCTTAACTACGACGAGGAGGGAGGAGGGGAGGAAGACCAGGTACCACACAGAGAGACTGACACACAACTGACACACAGGGTCCCCTACAGCTTTTGGATAATTTTACTGGTTTACTATCTTTTCGCTTTCATTGATTTTCTGTGCTAAATTTTTGCTTTGTTTTTCGCTAATTTCACTAGTTCTGGGGTAATGAGCTACTGTTCCTGTTTTCTTCTGATTATCCATGTTGTTTTTGTTTGTATTTATATTTGTTTATGGCCATGCTTTTTCAACATTAGGACCAAATGTAGGGTCGCTTAGAATTCAACTAGGGTCAGCTGAATTGTCCAGTAATTTACTAAGATAACTACTAAAAATGTTTCGGCTTAATAGGTTATGTTTTAAACAGCACACACAGCACAACACAACAGTATCTTTCACTTTCATGGTTATAAATCGAGTTCAATTCAAATGCAGCATATGAAAATAGATCTTGTTTGTATCTTGATTGACAACATAGATCAGGCGTTGGCAAACGTTTTGACTGGCGGGCCACAATTATCCCAAAATAACTTTATTAAGATAAATGACATGTAAAAGTCATGCATAAAGGGTAAAATGCTAAAATGCTTTTATCATTTTCTATACCATCTATTGGGAAAACATGGGAATTGCAAGAAAAAGGCAGACGTATAATGATAATAGAAATACATTATATAATTTGGAAAAGTTTGGGGGACCTGGTTAAAAAGCTGAACGGGCCACATCTGGCCCCTGGGCCTCAGTTTGCCCGTGCCTAGATCATGACTGCACAAGTGACAGCTTGATCCTAGAGCTTCCGTATGACCCTGGGGTCACAAGCCAAAAAAGGTACTGAACCTCTTGTTTATGGCTTGAATTTGCAGCTGTCTTAAAGTTATTTTTTAACTACTTTTAGGTAGAGTTGTTGTCAACAATACACTGTTGTTGATATATATCTCTATCGGGTAATCCTGCTAGCTATAAGCTAATTTTTAGTTGTTTTTGGTTATTTGTATGGTACCATTTTGTTTACCTTTTTGTGTACCCCTTAGCGTCAGCAGCTGTGCCTGGCACGACATTCAGCTACTCCTATATTGTAGACAACCTTGTGTTAAATTTTTTATTTTTTTAACATGTTTGTTCAATACTCTGAAAGAAAAGCTTTTTTATTCTAGGTATTTTACAGGCAGGGTTTTGGTCAAGGTGAACATGCAGACATGCTGAGCTTTGTGTGTGAGCTTTGATTGAAACACACACACGCACGCATTGACACTCCACTCCCCTGCAGTGAAACAGATGTCGCCACTGATTCTCAAGAGTCCTATTCGGAAGGTCTCATGGGAAATAAAACAAATCAGCTCATCACATAATCACTTTTACAAAGCACACACACCCCAACCCCTTCCTTCACCACCTCCTCAGTCGCTGTGCTTCATCCTTTCCCCCTCCTCTTCCTTTCTTTCATCCCCGATGTTTTTCATCTCTGCTGCCATGGTTACAATTCTGCTGAAGTCAGTTTGTATATGATTTTTACAAGCAAACCGGAATGAGATTCAGAGTTTGCTTTGATTCATTTAATCTGGAAAATACTATTTATTTGACTTTGAATTGAATCCAATCCTAGAGGAAGAGAAAGCTCCGTCTCCTATTCTTTTTTCGAATCAGTTTCAGTTCCAGTTAGTCTGTCTGATGCTAGATTACCGCTTTGAGCTGCAACTTTATAATCCGCTTTTTATTTATGGTCAAATTATGTTCGTGTTCTGTGAAAAAGTCCTTAAGCAATTTCCAGTGCTGCAATAACAGCAAAAACAGTGAACAATGCCCTCTTGTGGCTTGAAACAAATGGTGTATTCTTTTGATATATAAGTCACTGGGAATATCACAGGACCAGCTAAGATACTAAAAAACAAGTTTGGAAAATATGTGAAATTCCCACAAATGTTTATAGAGAAAATCTAATTCTGCCTCCTGTGGTCAGTTTGTGTCACTGCGGTATATCTCAACAAAGAATTTCAAACAGTGAAGTCACAAACGAACACATTTGAACCTAATAATGGAGGAACAGTGGATCAGCTGTTGTTTTCTCTATGGACATTGGTGATTGGTGAATATCAGTTCATGCTGACCTTTCTCTATAAAAAGAAGAAAAAGAAGAATTTTTCATCAAACTGTGATTTAAGTGTTCTTTTTGCAACAGGAATAGTTGCCTTCTGCATGTTTCTTTTTTCCCAACGTGTGCACCCGGAAGACCTTATACACATCTTAAACTTCACCAACAGTTAAAAACCTCCCAAAGCCACAGTCGATCTCTTCGGCAACTGCATGGAAAAGTAACACGAATCTCAGCACTGATGCCAAAATCTTCCCTTTTCTTCCAGAATGCCTACGACATGGCGGAGCTGCAGAAATCCCTCCAACCAAGTCCGGCTCAGTCAGTACAGTACTGTCGTTCCAGAGCTCTGCACCATCCTCCTCCTCAGGCTCCTCCTCATCATCATCACCTTTTGCACCAGACCCCCCCAGCTCCTCCCACCTCCCAGCAGCCTTTGGAGTCACTAAGCAGAACCACCAGCTCAACCACACTGCCACAGTCTGTGGCCTCCACCACCTCCACAAACACCACTACCGGCATCAGCGTCCGCAGGGACATCCCACCCACGCGACTCCCTCCACAGGGTCAGACTCGCTCCTCCAGGCTGTCTCACCGTTCCCTGTCCTTCTCCAGCCAGGACCTGGCTCGGTATCTGTGTGAGATCATCAGAGATGCTGACCAGCATCCTGACACGGGTCCATTTGACTCCCTGCAGGTCTTCTCCACAGAGGGAGGTGGTTCCCCAGCTGGGTCGCTTAGCTCTTTCAGCTCATCCATTTTAGAAGGAGCGGGCGACGGGGGAGGAGAAGGGAGGAGGGAGGAGACACTGGGAGATTGGGGGCCTCGCTTTGAGAAGCTGAGAGCTTTGTACGAGCATGCAGAGTCCAGCAACCTCTAAGAGACTGCAGCGGGCTGAAGACAGCCTCCAGTCCAAAAACAACCTACGAGCAGACACTCAGCAGTGATGAAGACAGAGGAAGCTGAATTGATAAAGACAACCCGTGATCTTTCTGCCTTTATTGACGATTGTTTTTTTCAATTAGCAAAGGACTTTAAACCTCCTGGACAGGACAATGGCGTTTCTGCTCTAGCCAAAGAAGCTAAGCTTCAGTGTCCTAGCCAGGGGTGGAAATACAAAACTAAACTCCTCTCCTTGAGCTGCTCTGTCTAAACTAATGTGAATCAAAACAGACAAAAGTTTTGACATAAAACATATTTTTAGCACCTTGTTGCTGAAGTCAATCTTTGTACATTAAATAAAAGATGGTTTATCTCACGCTGTGCCACTACGTAACGAACACAGTGGTGGTGAGTGTGATGGGTTGCCGCTACAGTCGGAATATTTTTGTTTTTGTTTTTTTTTAAAAAATGTATAAATTATTTTCTGTATCCTACTGTGGTTCACACTACTTCTGCTGTTTCTACTCTTTTTTTCTGGTTCTAAAGAAAGCGAACTACTTGTCATTGTGACACAGCACACCACTGCACACAACGAAATGTGACCTCTGCTTTTAACCCATCACCAAAGTTAGTGGTAAATTGGCAGCTAGTGGACTCAAACCTGAAACCTTTGGAACCCCATTCCACTTCCTTAACCACCACTGCCCCACCTGAAACCTACGAAAACGAACTCTCTCCCACCAAAGTCCAGAGAGAAACCAATGATTTTACATTCCCTTACAGGGAAACAGAAGAAGTTCTGCGGTTGTCTCTGGTTCTCTGTGTCACTGAGCTAACAATCAAACACAGGAATCCAAACAGTAAAGTCACAAACACACCTAAACTTAGTAGCGACAGCTGTGGAACAGCAACTGCTGTTTCTCTGTCACAGACTAAAACTGAAAATATTTGAGTTTTTTCATTATTATTATTTTCACATTAGTAAAACATTTTCTTCCGTCACAGCCATATTTTCAAGCTAAAAGATTATTTTGATGGGAACAACTTTAGTCCGGACTCAGAAACAGCAGAGTTAGTGTGGACGCAGACCATGTCCTGGAGTTTTAGTGAATTGTGTGGACGAAGTGTTTTCACTGCCTGACTGTAAACAGCTTCTGTCAATGTTTGGAATAGAAAAACAAAAAGGTTCAACCATCAACGAATAAGACTGTGAGTTTCTGTTCTCTAATCTTTCACTGTGCACTAATCTTTCACTACGAACGAATTGCTCTCTGCAAACTAATCTTTCACTACGATCTAATTACTCTGCAAACTAATCTTTCACTGTGAACTAATATTTCGCCGTGAACTAATCTTTCGCTGTGAACGAATCATTCTCTCCATCCATCCATCCATCTTCAACCGCTTATCCGGGGCCGGGTCGCGGGGGCAACAGTCTGAGCAGGGACACCCAGACTTCCCTCTCCCTCGACACTTCCTCCAGCTCTTCTGGGGGGACCCCAAGGCGTTCCCAGGCCAGCCGAGCGACGTAGTCGCTCCAGCGTGTCCTAGGTCTTCCCCTAGGTCTCTTCCCAGAGGGACGGCACCCGAGCACCTCCCGAGGGAGGCGTCCGGGGGGCATGCGATGTAAATGCCCAAGCCACCTCAGCTGACTCCTCTCGATGTGGAGGAGCAGCGGCTCTACTTCGAGCTCCTCCCGCGTGACAGAGCTCCTCACCCTATCTCTAAGGGAGCGCTCTGCCACCCTGCGGAGAAAGCTCATTTCAGCCGCTTGAATCCTTGATCTCGTTCTTTCGGTCATGACCCACAACTCATGACCATAGGTGAGGGTAGGAACGTAGATTGACCGGTAAATTGAGAGCTTCGCTTTTCGGCTCAGCTCCTTCTTCACCACAACGGACCGATACAGCGACCGCATTACTGCGGCCGCAGCACCGATCCGCCTGTCAATCTCACACTCCATCCTACCCTCACTCGTAAACAAGACCCCCAGATATTT